AACTTGAGGTTACTCTGAAAAATGTCTTTCAGACAATGTCAGTTCCAGCAAAAAAGTGACTAGAACTCAGGGAAAGGAAGTGGTAGCTTCTAAGCTGCCCAGGGGTTCCTAGGGAATTGTTCCACCTCTGAAGGAAACTCAGCAGGGAAGCATACCGTCGCAAATGATATCACGACGGAACTCTCGTTTCTCACGGCACGTTTTCTCAGAGATACCTTCAGCACGTAGATTCTAGAGTAGACATCGATTCCGTTCGATCACGTTGCCTCGATATCTCGTCGATTCTTTATCACTCAGCGTCTGATATCCGTTGGTTTTCTCGGGCATAATAAAAACAGAAAAATCGCGCGATCGATATGGCAACGGGGGGAAACAAAAAGGACGGAAGACAGTATTCATCGAGGTCGCGTTCAAATCGATTTCCTCCCCGACGCGTGGACGGCCATTCCCATGCTAACTTTTCTATCTTAAGGCAGACCTAATTTAATTTGGTCAGGATCTCGTTTGCATCTGCTCACGCGCCTACACACACTCTATACGAGACCCGTATTTAACGTTTAACGCTCGACTGCCATGGGGGTCAACGGTGACCGCTTTAATTCAATCGAATAATTAAAAATGAAAGAGATTTTCGGAGCAACTGACGCACCCAGACAAAAAGATTTATTGCACTGGATCACGTCGGACGGGTTATCACGTGACGCGCTTGGATTAAATATACGCTCGGTGTCAGGTGGAACGCGCGATTCTTAAGTTTCACTCCTACGCGTCAAAATGTGCATTATAACAATGCTGGACGAAGTGAATGTCACACGCGAAACATGAGTTCATGTGGAGATTGAGGTCGTATTCTGATATTTGGGGTTTTGGAAGTTTGGGAATTTGGTGATGGATTTGGGGATGTGGGTGGTGGAGACGTGAGGGCATAAATTCATATCTAAGGAGATTTATGGATTTGGAGATGTAGGGTTTTCGAATGTAAGAGATTTGGAAACGTTGGAATTGGGGGTTATGGAGGTTTGAGAATATTGTAATTTGGAGATATGAGGATTTGGGGATACGGGAACTTACGCGTAGTTATATAACGCGTGGTAATCCAACGCGTAGTAATGCGATGCGTGGTGATACTACGCGTAGGAATGCAACATGTGGTAATCCAACGCGTAATACTCCAGCGTGTGAATATCCAACGCGTAGTAATCCAGAGCGTGGATATTCAACGCGTAGTAACTCAACGCGTAATAATTCAGCGTGTGGATATCCAACGCGTAGTAATCCAGCGCGTGGATATTCAGCGCGTAGTAATCTAACGCGTAATAATCCAGCGCGTGGATATCTAACGCGTAGTAATTCAGTGCGTGGATATCCAACGCGTAGTAATCCAGCGCGTGGATATCCAACGCGTAGTAATCCAGCGCGTGGATATTCAACGCGTAGTAATCCAACGCGTGGTTACCCAGCGTGTGAATATCCAACGCGTAATAATCCAACGCATAGTTACCCAGCGTGTGAATATCCAACGCACAGTTACCCAGCGTGCGAATATCCAGCGCGTAGTAATAAAACGCGTGAAATTATAATTTACTGACTTGCGTGCCTAAAGACATAAAAATACAAAAACGTAATTTTCCCTCAAGAGGTAAAAAATATTCCTAAATTTGCAAACTTCAAACCTGAACTTAAAGCATTCTCTCCTAAATTTCTCCAAAACCCCTCATAAACGTTTACGCATTGACGAGTTCCTACGAGACGCGTCGAAGAAATAGAGGTAGTTTTCATTTTGCGAACGCGATAAGAGTGCCTTGTTACTTGTTTTTTCCTCCCTCGTAGCAACGAGTCTGCCTTCCGTTTAAACTTTCTCCTTTTTCTTCGGTGAAACTGCGTCGAAGCTTGCCGGTCATTGTGCAAGGAATAATGAAAGAGTTTCGTTATTGTTGGCAAAGGATCCAGTAAAAGGATTCACGTGGCTCACGGAAGTGAAATGAAACAAATTTATGGCGAATGGTAAATTCGATGCTTAATGAAACTCGTATACGACATTTCTGATTCGTGTTTAATGTATTGCCCTGTCATTCACTAGTATATCATAGAATTATCGTCAGACACAATTATGGAATATTATACATTTCAAAGAGATCGCTAACCATTTAAATCTATGTATAATGCATAATTTATCATGTATAATTTATATGTGTATTGGTAACGTATAATGTTACAGTACGGTATGAGAGTACATCATACGTGAAATTTAGTTGAATTATTCAGGAAAGTGATCAAGACTAAATTATTTTATTTATGATATATAGGGTGTGTCATAATTAATGTAGGTTCAATGGAGGGTGGCTGACGTGATTCTGAATAGGGTTTCCCTTTGCAAAAATGAGGTAGGAAGCTTCGTTTTTGAATTATTAAGGAAACGGGCCAATCAGAGAGCGAGGATTGCACATGCGCAGACGCGAGAGCGACAGCTTCGAGCCTAGTGACTGAACGCGTAATCTTCGCGCTCTGATTGCTACGCGTTAGATTACCACATGTTGCATTAGTACGCGTAGAATTACCACCCGTTGCATTACTACGCGTTGGTTAACTACGCGTTAGATTTCCACGCGTTAGATTCCTACGCGTAGAATTACCACGCGTTGTATTACTACGCGTTG